TCAGTTAACTTAAAACTCAATATTTAATAGTACATTTAAACAACATTTCAGAATCGTAAGACATGAAAAATATGAATGCAACACAATAACAGAATTCATTGTGTAGTTTATAAAATTACAATAACAAAACACAAGTTATTAAACACGTCGACATTGTTAAGAATCGAGGCACGAGAAAATAAATTACACACTTGTTATAGTAATTGTTCTTAATAATAGCCCCAGTTTTTATGACCGCAAAGTGTCTTTGCTCATACGTCTGACGGGCTGCCTGCGCTTGCATTGACCTGGGTACTACTACCAACGATGCATCCTTGGTCCATGCTTAACTTTGTAATTAAATTCTTCGAGAAGAAGCGGTACAGGTACAGTTTTAAATAGGTTGCCCAGAAGATATACGTGAAACTTTTTTAATACCCTTACAATCGCAAAAATCTCAAATTCATATTTACAATATTTTTTTTCTGCAGAAGAAATCTTTCCACTTGAATAGTATACAGGTTTATCTCGCAGGTAAAACTTGCATTATTTCGCAACAAATTTATTAACGGTCGCGCAATGATTGTATAACGGTAGATAAATTTTCTAAAATACCTTGTTAACCCTAGAAAGCTCTGTATATCTTTCCTACACTATGATTTTGAAAATTTCATCATAGCTTTAGTCTTGTGTCTAAATGGTTTAACACTGCCATTTGCAACAATGTGTCCTACATACTCGACCTCACTTTACAGAAAACATTTCTTTTAATTAATCTGCAAGCCATGCTCAGAAGTTACCTTTAGCACAGATTTAAGACTTATTATTCCACTTGTAAAATTTATTTATGGAATTATTAAATCATCAATATAAGTAAGTACAATTCCTGTGATTATTAATTCTTTAAATGTTGCGTTTATAAATTTCTGAAATATTGTTGACGGGTTGCATTATGTGAGTGAGAATGGAGGTCCGTAGCTGAGGAGAAAAAAAGTGATCAGCGAACAATGCTCTTATATACACATTCGGGTAAAACCGTACTCTTTGTCAGATCCCACGAGAGAACTCTATTCACGCGTAATATTGTAGTGGAAACCGTCATAAACCGTTTTTGTGGCATCCGCGGCCAGACGCGCCATTCCAGGGATGTATTGTTGCGGTAAGCGCGCCATATCTAAAAGGTTAATATTCTTACAATAAATCTAATTGGTTCTCTGTTAATGGTAACAGATATCTATCTTTACCAATTTTTCTGTTAAGCTGCCTGTAGTCAACGCAAATTCTAAGTTGACTTGTTCTTCTTAACTAAAAGTATTGAACCTGCATCGTCTGAATGGGATGGCTATATAATTTTGTCCTCTAACCATGAATCTTTTTGTCTATCTACTTCCACTGTATCATGATGGGAGAGCCTTCGAGACCTCTTATAAACAGATATATCATTGTATAGGTTGATATTCATCTTAATACTATACGTCTCTCACGTTAATTCTATTGACCCTCAAGCTAAAAGTGTACGGGAAAAACGGGACTCTTCCACATATAATGCTCGGACCGCCTCGGCTCCTGGCGCATGGTCTTATTGATGCGAGGCAATAACAAAAGGCAAAAGTGAGACCGAATGCGATGAAGTGAGATGTAACGAAAGAAAACAAAATTCTCTATAGTTCCGTCTCATTCCATCACAATCAATCTCGCTTTCTGTTCTTTGCTATTCTTTTTAAGCTTTGATTATCATTTACAAACATTTAATGATACGTAAAATTCAAAATTGTTGTAGTATAAATTTTCTACGATAAATTTTAACTGCCTATCGTTTTTAGTTTTCACGTAACACTTGGTTCTCTAAAAAATTCGACCGTTTTTACAAGAACGCAGTTTTTTCGAAAACTGGACGTGACCTAGCAATTTGGTTTTCGGATTCGTATTTAGGGTAAGGAACTCTGTAACAATCACCTAGTGATTACTGCGAGACAACAAAAAATTCAAATTTGTTCCGCAGTGTTATTATCAGAATCTACTGCACGAAAATCTGAAATCTTACTACCCAATTTCGGTACGCCGATTTTTACATAATCCCCGCACAGGGAACATAGTGACGGACAGTCTCCTAGGCAACTGCACTTCTGGTCTGTATTTCGGCTGGCTTCTTCGTCTTCATGTTCTCCTTCATTATTTTATACAACGTGCATTTCTCGTTTAATGCTTGAATGTTCTTGGTTCC